AGCCGTAAATATAATTCTAATTTCTATAACGTAAGAACGTAGGTATATTTTATTGCGAACTTAGGTGTAACACAATATAATAGTATAAAAAATAATATTATTAATATTTTATACTACAAGATGTCGGATAACAGGGTTGTGTTAATTCAAAAGGCAGCAACTCTAACTGAAATTATTATATACCTAATATCTTAAGCATCAAACTATTGTTGCATACGGGTATATTCGTAAAGGATTCATACAGTAAAATAAACTTAAGATACTTTTCTAAAACTACATTTGGGTAGTTGTTTTTAATTTAAATTACAATGCACGGGGTTACGTTTGGTTTTAAATAATGAAATATTAAAGAAGTCCAGAAACTCTTTTCAATAGCTAACTCTACGGTTGGTGTTAAACTTCTCCACGGATCTGTTCGGGCAAAAAAAAAAAAGATGTTTCTATTACTCGAAGGCAAAACATTGGATCAGGAATATGTATTATGATCAATTGTTTCTCCTTAATTTCAAAATCGAAATGGTTCTTCCCTCATTTCCCCTTTCTTCCCTGCCCTCGCTTTCACATTTTTCTCATTTGCTCGTCCACTTTCACCGACACAGTCTTTTATCAAAACATCTATTTTCTTCACAAAACAAATTTAGCCAAAAATGTTACTACGTAAAATAACTTTTATATACAGGTTTAATAACAGAATTTTATTTTTATTAATTCAATGAAAATTGAGAATATTTATCCCATTTATCCAACCGGCTAACAAGTTTTACAAAGTAAGCTTCGCCTTAACTTTTTGGGAACGAGTCCTAAAGGTAATAAGACACAACTATAAGAAATAATTTGAAAATCTTATGAATTCAAAGTGATTCATTATCACCATGATATCTGGAAAATACTATAAAAATAGTATTCATTATTTATTATTTAATATATTTTCTATATTTGGCAGTTGTATAACATTGTAAAATAACAAATTCAAAAAAGTTTAAGTAAGGAAAAACCACATAATCGCAATTATATTTAAAAAAAAAAATCTATTGTCTGGTCTATAATGAAATATTCTGTGATTATTGTATGTTATTCAGACGCTATGGTTTTAACTCTTACAGCTTATGATGTTATATTTACATTAGCTTTAAACTATAGGAAGAGTGTATTTTTGTATCGTTTTTATTTGCATAAAAAAACTGATCTGATGGAGGATATGATGGACAATTTGATGAACAATCCAGACGTTCAGGAGTTTTTTTCCGGATTAGTCAACTTTTTGAAAACGATAGTAAGCTATATAAAGACAGTTTTTTCATTTACACAACACAATTTCATAATAATTATTGGCCTCCTTGGAAAATAACTCGGGACTGTTTGGCTCTACATGTGCCCAACTGCTTTATCATAGCTTCCTTATCCAAAGTTTTATCTCCATTACTAAAAATATCTTGTTCTTCTTCCGTGACTTTGGCCTTCAAGACCATGTGGTTCAACAAATTTGCCTCCAAATTTCCCTATCCAATGCTAATTCCTTCCAATCCATCCCTGGTCTCACTTTCTCTATGTCTTTTTTGACCCTATCTTCCCAGCGTAATCTCGGCCTTCCAAATGGTACATTCTCCTGTACTATTTTCACAAATGATCCTGTTTTTCGCCAAGAATGACCTGCCCATTTCAGTCTTCTTTTGGTAATATCTTCTTTAATGCTTGGCCTTTGATACAAATCCTGAAGTTTCTTGTTTTTACGTATTCTCCATTCACCTTTGGATTCGTCTTTACATGATCTATATATTGTCCTCAGTACCTTTCTGGCAGCTTGTGACCTAGCTTTTATTTCCATACATATTTTATTCTGCTGTGTTATTAGTGTGCCAAGATATTTGAACTGCTGTACTCTTTTAAACTTGTAGTTTTCGACTTCTAGGCACTCATCGCGGCGACCTACTTGCTCGTGTCTTTGAACTACCGTATATTCAGTTTTCGCAGAGTTAATCTCTTGACCTATACGTTTGCAAAAATATAATATTGTTAAAAAATAATACATCGCTTATCAATTAGGTGACCTACATTGAAGCAGTTGTCCACAACACCACTTCTAAGAAAGACGAAACACTTCACACGGTGACTCGTGAACCACCCTTAACGACTCGTGACTCGTCTTGGACCGAAGCAATACCTTTGTCAATATTTGTCATCTTCAAACTTCTGATTATCGTCGCGTTGCTCATTGTCTTCGCTTATAAGATGTATCGTAAATATTTACAAAGGATACATACAGTAAAATAAACAGCTTAAGCTACTTTTCTAAAACTACATTTGGGTAGTTGTTTTTAATTTAAATTACAATGCACGGGGTTACGTTTGGTTTTAAATAATGAAATATTAAAGAAGTCCAGAAACTCTTTTCAATCGGTAACTCTACGGTTGGTGTTAAACTTCTCCACGGATCTGTTCGGGCAAAAAAAAAAAGATGTTTCTATTACTCGAAGGCAAAACATTGGATCAGGAATATGTATTATGATCAATTGTTTCTCCTTAATTTCAAAATCGAAATGCTTCTCCCCTCATTTTCCCTTTCCTCCCTGCCCTCACTTTCACATTTTTCTCATTTGCTCGTCCACTTTTACGGACACAGTCTTTTATCAAAACATCTATTTTCTTCACAAAACAAATTTAGCCAAAAGTTTTACTACGTAAAATAACTTATACATACAGGTTTAATAACAGTTATTTTTTTTTATAATTATTAGTTCAATGAAAATTTAAAACAGTCGGTTTATCCAATCGGCCAACAAGTTTTACAAAGTAAGCTTCGCCTTAACTTTTCGGGTACGAGTCTTAGAGGTAATAAGACAATACTTATGAGAAAAATTATGAAAACGTATGAATACAAAGTGATTCATTATCACCATGATATCTGGAGTATACAACCTTCAAACTAGAACTGAACTAAAATTAATTTAATAATTTAGGTCATATTCTTATGAATTGTTTTAAGCCATATATTAAACACCAAAATACTAGCCAAAAACTTGATATGTTTACTAGCCACCTTAGATACTAGCTTGTTAATATAATATATCATTATCTATAATTCCACCACTAATCTAAATTTATTCGGCACTTCAACGAGACATGTGCCAGAGCTAAGACATGGCCGTCCCTATTCCAACCCACACACCCAACCCCCTAACCGGTAATATTGTAAGAACTGTGTAAAATAATAAAAATATCATTTATGACTTGTCAAATGTTTTATGTTCAATATATGGACAATACAATGAAAATTAATTTTTGTACCTAAATTTGTAAGTAAATTAGATGGAACACTTCTATCACTTCATAAAATTATAAATAAACTCAATATTATAATTTTATCATAACAAAACAAACACGAAGCAGCCATGGTTAATTTTGGTGTGTAGTGTTAGGAGATTTGTTGATATAAGTACTAAGTAAAGTGTAAAAAGTTTTTTTAATGTACTGGAAATGTTAGACAATAAATTATATATTACTATGCACAAACAATAACTGTTCACCGATTATTGGTAGTTTCTGGATAAGTAAATCGAAAAGATTAAGTTTCCTAAATAACTGAATATACTATAATTTGTAGTTAGTATAAATTATTGTGTTATGTATCAAAGATTTTTTAATTAATTATAACTATATAATCTAAACAACATAAGTACAATAAGTATAAGTGTTTCTAGATATAAGATTGATTGGCTTGCAAAGGGTTGGCTAATTCTACAATTGTGGGCTTTAAGGGTGAAAGTTAATGTAGAAAAAGTTCTTTACATTTATTTTATTGCTTTATTTAGAGAATTAGATAGACCTGTAAACTGCAAGGCGCAAAATCGAAATACCAAATTCAAGCAACTGTAAAGCTGCCATTTTTATTTTTTTCGATATTATGTAATTTAGTTATAAAATACTTTGAATGGTTAATTTCATGATGCTATTTATTTCATTTTAATAAATCTTACTATTTTTTTACAAAAAAATTGAATTCAACAATGCCTTAAATGTAAGCTTTAATGTCAACAATCATTGCTGATTTAATCGGCAAGGACAGTTTGCATTCCTTATTAATATCGTGTTATGTTGTGTAACGATCATCATAAAACACCGTGTATACTATTCATTCGAATCGACATTACCCTAATTCCAATAGGATAAATTTTAACTAGAACTCTCATGATTAGATTTGAAAAAAATATTTAAAAAGTAATAATAATAATATTTCGAAAATTTGGCTTAAACATGTAAATAACATTTTAGGTAAAATTAATAAAGATAATAATATTGAATTTTTTCCTCAAGGTATAACTTATCAATATCCTTCTATTATATTAACGTATGAAAAAGAAATCGATGGAAAGTTGCCATTCCTTGATTTTATTAATAAAAAGACTTTAGCGAATTATTGCTAAAAAACGCACAGTTTTACGTTCATTTCCAAATTAAGCAAATTATAAATAACACCTCACATTAAATAAATGTATTTAAAGTTGTATAATAAGAGGAATAGGTCCTGAAGCAAAAGCCTTAATATGATTGTACAGTATGTTAATTTAAACTATTCTAAGACAGTACTCGTCGATGCATTCACATTTTATGAACAATATGTATAATATTTACAACACAAAAATAGTATAAAAAAATATGGAGCTGAATGTCTTTTATTTTGTTTAAAAAAAAAAATGATTTAAACATATATTAAGTAGTTTCATTAAAAAAAGAAAATGACTAATTTATTTGTCTTGCGTCTCATCAGCATGTACACGATTAATATGGTATTCGAGAGAAGATTTTCGTGTAAACGTTTTCTCGCAAACATTACATTTAAATGGTTTTGCGCCAATATGTAGCAGCTCATGATTCTTAAGAGAAGAGCTGTAAGTAAACGTTTTCTTGCATACGTGGCACACATAAGGTCTCTCGTTAGTATGTATGCGTTCATAAATTACCAGTTGTGATTTATATAAAAATATTTTTGAACAGACATCACACATTCGTAGCGACAGCTTCTGTTTGGATTATGGATGTTGGTAGATGTTTCTGGTATATTGACAATAGGTTTTTGTTTATTTAAAGTATGCGGTTTTTTTATGTGTCGAATAATTTGCACTTAAGTATTAAATGTTTTTTGGCATAAGTTGCACATAAACAGTGGTGTTTTGTTCTTTACTTCTTTCAATTTTGACACTATCATATGTACATTTTTAACCGGTTGCCTTTTTATATTGATGTTACAGCTATTTCTTTTCTTTTTGAAAATGATATCCTTGTATTTCGTTCCAGCACTAAAATCATTTATAATAATTTATACATATATTAATTCAAAATCCAAAAAAGTTACTAATACAATTAAATAGTAGTAGACATTAAGTAAAACCAAAGTTAAAAATAAATTCATATTTTTTTTAAGAACTATATTACATTTTATATATTAAAAAAATTTTGTTATCATTAATAGAAATATTATTTTAAAATGCTAATTTAATTGAATATGATGCAGATATAATTTCTAGGACAATTAATTAACATGGCAATTGTCATGAGAAGTAGGACAGCCAGGAAAAATATAATTATTTCATCAAGTTCGGTTTATATTTCAGGTATCTCAAGAGGTTTAACAAATCTTAATAATTTACAATAAATTAAAATTATTCTAGTATGTACATTTTAGCTTTGGTTTGAAATATTATGTTTTAAAATAGTTTTAATAATATTTTTTAAAACAAAAAGGGGATAGACGTAAGGTTTAAATATATTGGTCGCGCGAAATTTTGCAGTTAATGAATTAAACGAAATACATGATTCTCACCTAAACTTATTCCTTGAAATTTTTTTTGTAGTTTTACAGTTCGTTTTGTGGAATTTTTGTATGTGATGAATAATTCGCTTTTTTGACGTAAATGAATCATGACACAGATTGCAAACAAAGCTCTGTACTTCGTCTTTATTAAAACTTGTACTATGCAAGCTTAAAGGCAACTGGTTTTCAACTTCTATAGTAGAGACGAATTTCCATTTTCCCAAAAAGTCTACTTCCACTTTTACGTCTTGTTCATTGTAAGTTTTGGTAACACTAAAAACAGTATAAACAAGTGAAATAAATGATAGTTTGGTTTACATAAAATTAAAAAAATTGTATTTAAATTTCCTGCTTGCGAAGATTCCTAAGTAGCTATCTGTAAGACAATTTTTTAATTTCAATTGTAATAATAAAAAAAATGATAAAAATTGTTCATATTTAAACTATTGCTATTTCGTTTAAAAACATTAATTTTGAAACTTAAGACCAATATTCCCTTTGAGAAACATTTTCTTTCCAACAAAAAACAATACATTGTAATCAGACTACTCTACAAGACGTGGGTGTTATTACCGTGTTACATTAAAAAGTAGTGGCACTTAGGGACATTAAAAATAATGTGTCATTTTATACATTTATATCTTGGGATCTCATATTTACTATAGGAAAAGCAAAAACAGTGGGGTCATTGCAGAGGTGGGACAACAGACTAACTCACAATTTGACAGACTGATAATAAAATCATATAACAAACAATATTACATTTTTTACCAAGCCTGATAATTTTTTAATATAGATTCTTATTTGCTTATACATATATGTATATAGCCAGGTCTTATCATTGACCATTTGGCTTCTTTTTGGCTTAGTAAAATTTCAATTGGGACACTCCCTAAATTAGTTTAATGTATATAAAATAGGTCAAAATATATTTTTGGTCTTAACACTTGCCTCACTTTACTTTAATAATAAAATTAGTATTTCCTATTTTTCATAAAATAAATATTTAAGCAAAATTAAAAGTATCTAATGGTGATTGCTGCAATATCCTCATGCAAATTAATTTTTCTCTTAAAATATTTAAAATACAAACTTTAATTTCGAAAAAACCAATTACTCTTCAATTCAACCAAAAAAAAAAAATTGAATTTTTTCTTGATTATGACATAGTATAGTGATATATTAATTTCAATACATTGAATTTAACAATGCACCAGCATGTATGTTTTTTTGGTAATAATCATGAACAATTGTTTTTAAGAAATTTATTAAAAATAAAATAATAAAGAAATGCTTCTGCATTAAAAAAATAGACATTATATTTATCGTAGTAAAATAATGACCACTCATTAGAATAAAAAAAAATGATCTTATAATTATTTATTTTTTTTAAATGTTAAGTTTTGTACTGTTAGGACAAAATTATATTTAAAACATCCTTAACCATAACATAATAAACTCTTCGCCTATATGACGTATTTCGGCAACAATGTTGTCATCTTCAGCGCTAACGATAGACTAACGACAGAGTGTATTATTCTATGATTAAGGGTTTTTTAAATATTGTTAAATTATAAGCAACCATATATTGCTCAAGTTTTTTCAAGATTACTATATGGACATTAAAACTTTTTGGGTACTAGTAGTAACTTTGGTGTACGGCACATAGTATTATTTTGGAAATTTAATCATTTATACCAAAATAACTGAGTAACTAAATATGCGTTTGGCTTTACTTTAATATTTATAAAATATTTATGCGTACATGATAAAAGACGCATTATTGCTAGTTACTCATAAATCGTGAATAACAATACAATACATATATTTTCAAATACCCGTCGACTGTTTAATAACATTGCAACATAGAAATTTACTACGGTCAAAGTGTAATTTTCGCTATTTTTTGGATTTTCCTTAACTTTAGATTTCTGGAGAAAATTGTGTATGTTTTAAGCATCACTCTACATCTACCTTAGGACTAATTTTCAGAACTTAATCACTAAACTTTACTAAAAGAACGAAATAAAGAACAATATCACACCACTTCTGGGGGATAACTTTTTTTGTGTCTGTGTAAACTTAAACTTTTTTAACACTGGACCAGTTCATATTGGTATTATTATAAATAATATACTGCACTAGCTAATATGGTAAATTACAATGTGTTTAAGATGATACACATAACAGTAAATATAAAATTTTAAATATTCAATTTAAACAACTTTTGTTGATGAATTCCATTACTTGTTTGTATTTGCATCTATTATTCTTATAGGTGTATTCTGGACTGTTGAACAACTATATGTCGGTGTGTTGAACGAATCTTCTTCTTCATCTTTTTCTATTTTAATTTCCGGCACCGTCCCAGGCTCAACAATACTACAGAATAATGATTACATAAATTATTAAAACTGATAGTAAAATATAATGCATTGATATTTTTATATAAATGAAATAATTTTTAAATTTAACACGTATTTTTTATTTTATATTAGTTGACCAGTTATTTAAATCAAACTTAGATTATAGATTTATTTATTTATCTAGAGGAATTGGGTAAGTATTTGGAGCTTATTTAGGATATTTATGACAAAGTTACATCCCGTGCAGCCCGTAAATATAGCCAACACTACTAAATAAAAAGGAGAGAAAAAGTTTTTAAATAATTTACTTCGAAAATCTCATACCTATTTGTATTTTCCAGACTTTCCTTATGACGGCAATTTTCGGTTATCAAACAACTATTCCAAGATTCTTCTGGTAAATTGTTTTCAAATTCAATAGTAGATTGAGCTATGCAATCACCCAAAATATCTACTTCCTTTTTGATAATCTGCCCGTCGCAAGTTATGTGAACACTAAACATATACCAAAATGAAGAAATTATATAAAATTAAAATACTAGATATTATATAATTTGAAAAAATATACAATTCTCAAGTCTCGTATTATAATCGATTCAACAATGTGAGTAATTAGTATAATTTAGTAATTAATATAGTAAAATTGTTTAAAGTCGAAGTGGTACAGCACTTGTACTATATACACATTTTATACAAGTACACGTGTAAATATGTAAATTTATCGTTAGTTTTAAATAAAAAATATTAATAAATTTGACATTAACTCTTATTACATCAAACATACAACATATATATTATCAAAGTAAAATGGATGAAATAAAACATGTAAAATTAACTTGAAATACAATTTTATTTTTGGACTATTTATGAAAAACCTCACTAAATAATCTGTAAAAAAAAAAAAAAAAACCACTTTTAGAAATTACGATATAGCAAAACAACTCCTTTTAGTTTTACTTGTGAGCTTCTTCGTTAGTTATCTTTTAAACTAATTTCAATATATTTGATAACTCCCGTTTACTATTACAATGATATTAATTAGGAGCCAAAAGTTACGTACATACAACAGATCGATAATTTGATACAAAATTTAAACCTGACAAATTATCTAGAAGTATGATCTTTTAGACTATTTGTGAAAAATCCTCTTTAAATAATCGGTTAAAAAAGTTAATACCAATTCTAAAACAGATAGTACAGCAATGCAACTCTTATAAGGTTTTAGTTTCTTGTGTAATAGTATAAAAAGGTTTCAATATTATTTTAATTTTTTAATTTCTTGTAGTCATTTACCTTGAAAATATCGTTGACGTGATTTGGTCATTTGGAATTTCATTAACTTGCGGCGGTGTAGTCTCAAGTGTTCTTGACTTTTTGTTCGAACCTTATATAATACAAATATATTGATTAAGATAACTGTTACTTAGTATAGTATAATTATTCAAGTACGTTGTAATATTTTACCTGGACCTGACATGTTAACTACCTTAAGAAAGAAAATGATTTCAATAAAATTTTATTAAATTTAAGTGTAACGTAGCTGTTGCCATTTTTTTTTTTCATTAGGTACTGTTTTTAATATTTTATCCATATTACATATTATGTAATACAATGTACAATGTACATGTACAACTGTGTGTAGCTTATTTCTAAACAAGCTCGCATATGCATTGCCATAGATAGGTTTTCAGAAATCTAAACATTTGTCGTGAGTTGCCATATAAGCTTATAACTAATGATTTCTGATCTTTGGTCTCACTTTTTTTTATTATATTTTAAACTAAAATGTGTTGATAACAAAATGCTATTTAAAATAATCGTACTTAATCATTTTAAACAGGTTTGGGGATTCACTTATTAATGATATCAATTTTAACTGATACGAATTTTAGTTACAAGTGAAATTTCTACAAGGCTACTTTCAAAAATTTTGTTTAGTAGTTTTATATTAACTTAATGAATCAAACGATTTTTCTATTACCTCTATGTATCACAATGAAAATTCTAGCCACGCGCATGCTAATATTTACCTCCACTGTGTTCTATCCTCCAGGCGACGAATACTACTGTTATCTCCAATTATGTCTCGACAAAAATTATTAATGACTTATGATTTATTTGAAAAGGTTAGTTGTTGAGTGTGTATATTATTTATATTAAACATTAGTAATATAAAACTATGTTGTGATTTCTTATGAAATTTAGAACATTCCATGGTTTTCTATTAATCAATTATAATTTATAGAAATGTATTAATATGATAGGGTTATTTATTCCATAGTTTTTGAATTTATTTTATTTTATAAATATATATTAAATGAGTTGCCATTCGATACACTGACAATTATATCAACCATATCCTATGTTCATTGTAACTTTATTGATACGGTTCTCTTATAAGTTACTTATAATAATATTTTAAGTTAATTTAGTCTTATACAGTTATATATTGTACAACCCGTGTATAATAAACAGTCAGATAAATATTTCTTTTTTAATCAACCTAGTTTTTCTCTAAACTTATTTTGTATCACGTTGATACAAAATGATTTTCTTATTGCTACATTGTTTGTGTTTTAGTATGTTAGTATGTATTGGCTCGTACCGGCTCCTGTTATCAGGCTTCTGTTATCACGAACCTGTTATCATGCTCCTGTTATCACACCTCTTATCATTGAACACTGTTATTTCCTTATAAATATTTGCTATATAATATATATATATATATGTATATGTATATATATGTACTACCCACAGCAAAATAAAAAAATTAAAATATTACCCACATGAATATAGTCGAGAAAAAAATGTAACGCGTTCCGAAAAAAGTGTTATGAAAACTATGTGTGGTGCGGTCGAGCGTGATCGGTTCCCAGGTGTGAGTGGTACTGGGATCAAATCCGGTTCCCCTCTCAACACTTTTTGCATTATTTTTTACAACTTTTATGGTCATTTATATTGCAACAAGATTAAAAACTTATAAAATATTTATATTTTATTACTACAGAATACATTATTACATTACTTAATGTACTTGAAACCGAATGCAATGTTAAAAAAAAAATGTTGTAAAAAAATGCAAAAAGTGTTGAAAGGGGGACCGGATTTGAACCCGATACCACACACTCCTGGGAACCGGTCACGCTCGATCGCACCACTTATAGCTTACATAGCGAAACCTATACGAAAGAGACTTCGTTCCAAACGCATGTCCCGCGACACGAACCAGTTTATATATATATATATATATATATATATATATATATTCAACATTATATTGTATGCTGTGTTGTGTACAATGTTGTGTATGTGTGCTATACCTCTTGCTTAATAATTCCAAATATTCATCTTGCTACATTAAAAATTAGAAATATATATATATAAATAAATATATATATACATATACATATAATTCACCTTATTAATTTCTTTAAATTAATTATTCGCATAAATATCAGTTAAAAAAACTTGTATTTTCCTTTTATACCCTATTTATCATTTAATGTTTATTTTAAATTATTTACTAAATTGCTTATCATTTCATAACTCTATATAATACTGATTCAATCAAAAAATTCATTTAAGTATTAACAGTGATTCAATAACCGCTATTGATAATTTCCTTCCAACTTTGATCCTTTAATTAAATATGTATGTATATCACGGCTTGTTAATTTATTTTTAATTCCACATTAACAACTTAAATAACAGGTAAAAAATTGTATTTTACTTTTCAATTTGATAATTTCCTTTTAAATTAATTAATAATATTTGATTCTAATAATGTTTAAAACATAATTCATTTAACAATTGGAAATTCCTTGCAAATTAGTTATTTTAAATAAATGTCTATACATACATATTCCGACTTATTAATTTCTTTTGAATTAATTATTAAATTAACAAACAGTTTAACAATTGTAATTTCATTTTAAATTAATTATTACCTGTCTTATCATTTAATACTTGTTTGAAATTATTTAATAAATGTTTTATCATTTAATAATTGATTTTAATAGTGATTAAAACATAAATTAATTATTACCTTAAATAACAGTTAAAAACTTATATTTTCCTTTCCAATTTGATAATTTAATTTTAAATTATTTCATACCTTATTTAACATTTAATATTTATTTTATATTATTTACTAAATTGTATATCATTTCATAACCTTTTTATAATAATGATTCGTTCAAAATTGATTTAAAATTTCCTTCCAACTTAGATCCATTAATTAAACATGTATATCACGGTTTGTTAATTTATTTTAAATTGCAACATTAACTTGAATAACAGGTAAAAATTGTATTTTACTTTCCAATTTGATAATTTCATTTTAAATTAATTCGTAACTAAATTATCATTTTACTACTTGTTTTAAATTAATTTATCATTTAATAATTGAATATAATAGTGCTTCAATCATGATTCATTTAAAAATTGTAATTTCGGTGCAAATTGTTTTTTAAATAAATGTAAAGTCATATCTCGACTTATTAATTTCTTTTGATTTATACTAGTGCTTCTAAAATCAGACACCGTGTACGCATACTAAAATATACTAAGTGCCGGGAAGCCAAGTACATATTCCAATAAAATCAGATTGTACTACTAACCGTTGAATAATATATGTACATAAATATATATATAATTAAATATCACTTGATACGTGTAATCATATTATTAATTGTGTTGGTTGTATTCTTACGGTTCGGAATTTGTAATTGCATATTATCGTTAGTGTCCATTTGACCAATAAGATCATATTTATTACTAGTACTTATCCGCTCGCGTTATTTTAATTAGTGTTATTGTTTTTTTACCGTCCATTGGCATTGCACCACCAGTTCTTATCGCTGTGTCGGCGGCGGCGGCGGTTCCTGTGTGATGAGTCGGAGACGGAGGCCATACGTCGATATATTCTAAATTGATCAACACTGTTATTGCTTTGAATATTTTTATTATTATTATTATTATTTTTACCGATATTTTCGTCACTGCCGTAATCGATCGAATCCACTGTCGCCGGTACTCTTTCTGATAAATATATATATTGCGAACGTGTTAGCCGAGTTGTGAATGAATGTTATATTAGATAAATTTAATCGTTATTTTTTTTTGTTTACCCGTTTGCCCGATGTTACTACTACAATTGTCTGCTTCGCTATTTTCTTCTGTGGTCAAGTCTATCCATACTGTAATTAAATAACATAATTATTATAATCATCCTATAGTATTGTATTTCTTTTTTAATTAACCTTCATCGTCAACATGGATTTGACCAGGTCCAGCGTGTTGAGACGCGGTCGCTGTAATGACACGACAGTGCCATGATATTTCACTTTTCTTATTATTGTTCTATTTATTTTGTTGATTTTTTTTTTACTTACTCGGTTCACTGTTAATACTATTGGTGGATTCATCATCATCATCATCCACGGTCAAGTCTACGTGCACTGTAATCGCCCAGATCCCAATGTTATATTTGATTGTGTAAAAAAAATATATATATATACAACTTATAATCATACAGGGTGTCCCATTTTAAAATACTAATCGATTTTTCTCTAAAAATACTGATCCAATCAAATAGTTGCTTGTTAGAGACTTTTAGAGTACAAAGGGGGACATTATAAAAAATTAAAAAATTGGGTACAAAATTCAAAATGGCTGACTTACGGTCAAAAACATGTTTTTTTTAAATGGAAACCATGTATTTTTTGTTAACCAAACAAATGTTCTTATCAAAACTAACAGCTTTTGTTGGACATTTTTTTTCGAAAAACCCATAATTTGTAAATTAAGTATCTTTAGCTATTTTTAGTTTTGATATTTTATTTTTATGCATATGGTAACCTTGTCATGTGTAGTAACCTTGGTATGTGTGGTAACCTTGGTTTGTGAAGTAACTATGGTATATGTGATAACTTGGTATGAGTGGAAACGTTGGTTTGTGTGGTAACCACGGTATGTGTGGTAACCGTGGTATGTTTATAATTTCCTAACCTAACCTAACCTTACCATTACATTATCATTATCTTTATCGTTAACGTTATCCTCTTTTCTGTGTATCACAAAGACAAAACCCATGGTTATCACACATACCAAGGTTACTACACATGACAAGGTTACCCATATGCATAAAAATAAAATATCAAAACTTAAAATAGCTAAAGATACTTAATTTACAAATTATGGGTTTTACCATTTGAATTATGGGTTTTTCGAAAAAAATGTCCAACAAAAGCTGTTAGTTTTGATAAGAACATTTGTTTGGTTAACAAAAAATACATGGTTTCCATTTAAAAAAAACATGTTTTTGACCGTAAGTCAGCCATTTTGAATTTTAGACCCTATTTTTAAAACTTTTTTAACGTCCCCCTTTGTACTCTAAAAAGTCTTTTATAAGCAACTTATTGATTGGATAAGTATTTTTGGAGAAAAATCGATTAGTGTTTTGTAAATGGGACACCCTGTATATCTATAAATACTGATCTGTTTCTTTTTTCCTTACCTTCGCCGGGGGTTTGCCGAATTGATCCGGGTTGATGCGGTCCAACTGTAAATAACGTGTCAGGGCGATATTAATCTATTTAATGATATTTCCATATTCGTTTATACCCGAGTAGTGATTGAATTGTCTTTGATGTCGTAGCATATTGCTTCGGCTAGCAAACGTGAACTTGCATACAGCACAAGACCGAGACATTTTCACTGTGTGTGTGTGTGTATGTGGTGTTAGGATGAATGCTTTCCGGTTGTTGAAAGACTAAAGATTGAAAGGTTATCGTTAGCGCCGGTATTTATAGTGCATTCGCCGGACAGTCGTCGCAGCGATTACACAATTTTTTATCCGGACGATCTGTGACCTGTTATTTATTCTCCACACTTTGACGCATATCATATCTATATCATAGTTCTGTCTGCTGTTTTTTTTTTTAATTACCATACACCGCACTACTGGTAATAGATTGTACATTCCGCGGCCTTTCTGCAATCACGGCGCGATCGTCTTGTGCAATAGTAATTACAAATTTAATCACACATTTTTGACCCTATATGTTCACCCCGCGTATGGCGTGATCGATCAATGTCCAACTTTAACTCGGTACGTACCCGTTCTTCGTTAAATTATATTTAACGCTGTTTTTTTCGTTAGTCGCCAGAATGATTTGTCTGTATGTGTTCACGTGAATCTATATATATATATGTGATCCAAACCGTATTACACTTTATCGCTACTGTTATTTCTCGTTCCACTTCCTATAGTGTGTGTGTGTGTAGATCATATTTTCTATTATAATTACATTAACTACATGCACTTCCACACACACACACACTATTCATACTCCGACCTCAATTGATTTATAATGGCACTGCTATGCAATCGTTCGTTTATAATATTCATATGTACTAGTAATGTTAGATAATCTAATAATGGTAATATTTTTTTACTTTGCACACTGATTCCGACGGGGGTGCCCGGTTACGGCGTTGGGCAAAGGCACTAATCACTATTGCTTAAGTACTGATGAGAATTGTTAAGCGTAGTGTTAGGTGCCTCGTCCACCTCAGTCTAGATACTTGTTGGAAAAGAAACAGATCTGCTAAAGAAGCGACTGCCCAGTGCTGCTCAACGATTAAAGTAAAAATATGGTTTAAATTAAATTTGAAAGTCTAGAGGTTATAAGGCGAGTGTCCAGTTGTGCTTACTCACCGATTAGAGTAAAAAAAGTATTTAAATTCAAATTGAATGTCTAGAGGTCAGTCGGTTAAAAAGCGAGTGTCCGGTGCTTTTTAGAGTAGCCGCCGAGGTTGCTTCTTATTTTAAACATAGTATGGGTTTTTTGCATTTAGAAGCAAAAGTGTTTTGCAAGCTAAGTACTGTTATTAACTGTAGTGTGAGCTACCTGTGTAGCTATCTGTCAGATCAGAAACGTCCTACTAATAATAAGGCGAGTGTGCTACTTGCTTAAAGTACAATTATTTTTTTTTTTAATGATATGTTGAAAATAAAGTATCTGGTGTTGCTTACTTCACGGGCTTGGTAAGCAATGGTTTAAAATAGAAAGAAATGTTCAGAAGTCAGCCGGCTAAATGGTTTGGTATGGTGTACCTATTTGAAACAAAACTTTTTACAAACGTAGTACTCATCTATATTATATATCTAGATATTGGTCGAATAAATCTCCTATTCTTACACGCCGGCCACGGTATGTGGAAGTAATGTCGTTATAATTCATAGTACCTATATTTATGTGTCTATAAATAGGTATCATATATATCTAGCTATCAGAATTCATACCTAGGTTCAAGAAAATATTTTCCAAGCTAACTGTTTAACTGTAGTGTGTCAAGCTGTTTGTCGGATCCGAAACGATCTATGTAACTATAAAAATTTGAGTAGCTGGCGCTCCTTGCATCATTAGATTAAAATAAATGTATAAAATCAGACAGTTAAAGATCGAGTGTCCGGTTTTGCTTACTTAAGGGTTTAGTAAGCGATGGTTTAAAAGAGAACGTAATGTCTAGAGGCCGATAGGCTAAAATATCGAATGTCCGGAAAGAAGTGAAGAGTGATAAAAACATTATTTGGATTTTTGATTGACTATTTGACGACAGTGCTTATAAAAACGTCCAAAGAGAGGTTAAATAAAATGTCTCGATGCAAACCTTTTAAGTTTTTAGATCTGGAGAGTTACATAATAATAATAATACAAATATTCAGTGCATCAAATCAAATACCTATATTATTTTATACCCTTCCGGTGACATATTTTCTATGTAATAGATAAATTAATATACATTCATATTTTTTTAATCCATATGTTTAAATCCATAAATTGATATTTTTTTTAGATGGCTAACCAACAGTTCATCCTACTAAATGATCATAATTAAAAATGTCAATATAATTTTATTTTTCATTATGTAATAAGCGTAGTACCTATACTATATTACACGTCTAGATATTGGTCATTAGAATCGTAATTTGTTGAGAAATCATATCTATGTCAGTATTTGGTATTGTACGTTTAGAATATTAGAATTAGAATTTAATCATGAAAGGTACACGAAGTATACTTAAGAGATCTGCTGGTTTATCAGAAGTCCGAAATTGTAGAAAAATTATATGTTTGTGTATCCTGCGAACTCAAGAGTAAAAAATAAATGAAATGTACCTAAATTAGTTATAATATAATGAATAGCACAAATTATAAGTTAATCTAATCTAACCAAAGTGCAATATTCGAATTACAGTACGAAAAATATTGAAAATGCATCTTGAAATATTTTACATCAACAATCATACAATTATTTTAAAATTGGCAGTTAAAAATGTAAATAAGTTATTAGTTTTATAGCTAAATGAGTTTGTAACATCAACAAAGTGATCTTGCATACAATTTGACATTCTTATCAATTTTCGGCAGGCATGGAAATCAACAGACACTGTAAAAAGTTAAATATATGTGTATGTAGTTAGTATATGTTGTTTATGTATAAGAATGTAATTAGAGCACTACCATATATAAATTAATTAATAAATATAAGAGTTTAATTTAATTATCTAAATTGGTGTTAATTATTTGTAAATTCAATTTAATTGCCTACAACAATAACTGACTAAAATTAACACACACCCTTATATTAACTTTTAAGTGTTTAGATATGGACAGTAACATGATAATAATAATATTCAGTGCATCAAACACCTGTATTATTTGATACTTACAGAGACATATTTTTAGATGGCTAACCAACAATTAATCTTACTAAATGATAATAATTGAATTTTAAAATAATTTTATTTTTCATTATGTATTATCAATAAAAAAAAAAAATAGCAGTAGCAAAATTTTTTTTAGGGTGGAGCGAATACTTCTATAAATAACGAAATAGTAAATGAAATGTTGACGTGCCTCAGATATTATAATATTAATCACCTATTAAATGAAAAATTAGTTCCAATAAAAATGATTTGACAATATTATTATTATTATAAAGATTAAGTGTATTAATAAGTTATATCTACACCAACAGCAACTCAAAAAAAAAAAGAACTTATACAATAAACTCCTTTAAAAAACGGTCTAACAACACAGAATGTTGAACGCTAAAATAATATGTCAACAAAAGGCAATACTTTATGTCAATTAATGTATATAAATTTTAAGCACACAAAATTAGCCCCCAAATTATAAAACAAATGTATAATGTTTTACTCATTAACAAAGTATCTAAACATTGTGCAAATATTACTATATACAAATACACGGGTAAGTTAAATGGATTTTGAGAAGAGATGCCTGACCTTAACCGCAGAGATTTTTCGACGGCCACAGGAAAATCAATTGTGGACTTCGTGAGACGACAGAACTTCCACAACGCCTTTAAAAGTATAACAATAATAATAATAATTAGTAATTGTAGTATTTGTCGTATTCAAATACAGAGTGGATAGATAAACACTGACCGTAAGAAATACTTTACCGTTAATATTTAAGACACGTTTATCGTTTTAGCGGTGCTTAATTAGACATACTTTTCAGTATTGGATTTTAATTTTTAAAGTATGGGAATTATCACTGAATTTTCAAAAATAATTTAAAAAAAGCCAGTACAGTGGGGTCGGGGCATAGTGGGGACGGAGAGGTCACGGGTCTACAGATTTTATTATAACTGAAAGTGATAAAATCACTTTCGGAAAAACGCTTCGATGCGAATCTGTGGATAGTATGTTCAAACTAGTGATAGTGGTTTAGAAGATATCGTGGGACCAGCAATAATGTACTAAAAATGTAATATTTAGTCTTGTGCGGGGTGGATACGATAAGGGTTGATCGTCTGTCTATAAAAATGTACTGTCATAGTTACCCATATTATATCGTAATTAACAATATAATGAAAATATTTTCATCACCTGTTGACTGTTGATTCACACACACACATAGCAACCTAGAAACTGACTACGGCCAAAGTGAAAGCCCTATAAAATACCTTCCAGGTATGATTTCTGATCTATAGAGTTGCTACACGAATAAATCATCGGTTTAGGGGTTTACAAGATATCGTCTGGGTCCAGACACAAAAATAGAAAATAAAAAAAAATATATAAAAACACATCAATGTAAAAACAATACCTTCTCAACTCCGCACCGAAGCTAATAACCTTGGAGGTCTTCAAAAGAGAAAATTGAAAAGCGCCTTCCTAAGGAACCTAGAAAATTTGCCAACAAATGCATACATATTTAAAAAATTAAAATCCAACATTGGGAAGTACGTCTAATTAAGCACCGCTAGCAGATGCAATTTACCAATATGAAGTTAACAACATTTTTATTTTAACGTTGTAACTTACTTCAATTGATAATTAGTAATAAATAAATCTTCTGTTTGTTAAACCCAGTTTACTTAAGCTAGGATTAAATTTGGTTGATAAATTCAGAATTATTTTAATCTCCGATTAATCTTAAACCGAGATTAAACGACATTTTAACCGCCAAATTAATGTTTTTTTTAATAATAATAACAATAATGTACTTATAATAGTAATAAATTTACGTTAATGACGCAATTTACAATTTTTTTACAATAAGTTTTACACAATAATTTATTTAAATATGTACAACAATATGCATTAAACTTATTTATTTAAACTTAATTATTTACCAATTACAACTACAATTATAGAGAAACACAAAATTGCTTATAAAATCCTATTAATATTTAGTACATTAAATGAAACCAATCATCATTTTTCAAGAC